GCGTCGCAACTATACACGTATGTGCACATGAATGTGTATCTGGGCTTGCACTGCTACAAAGCTTTCCTTATATGGTCAGCTAAGCACGCTAAATTCCAATTAAGTTTACTTCATAAGTGCATATAAATATGTACGAATGTACGTGTGTATGTGTCTGCATTCTTTGTTTTTAAGGTATAAGAGCGTAAATTGTTAAATATTTTTTCTTATTATGTTATTTCTGAAATATATATATATACATATATATGTATGTATATTGTACTATATACTTATACTCCAACTGCTGCGACTCATCTAGTGATACCTAGTGGCAAAGAGGCGCTCCCTTTTGTGCTATCACAAGCTAGCTGAAACTGGCAGTGACAAGCCGATCGTATGTCTCGCAAGACTTTTGCCAAGATTTCGCTCTTAGTGAAAGTTTGGTAGATTTTCCCGCAATGATTAAGTGCAATCAGCTCATTGGCATTGGACTTTTGTCCTTCACACAGTACGCACGTCACAAGGCTCTATGAGCGATATTACGGTAACAGGTGCACTCATCCGGCCAAATTTTGCAAAGCAGTTGATTCGTGATGCAATTCGTCAGTTATTCCCGACCATATTTGAATAGTTCAGACGGCAAGCTATCAGCACCTGCCGCTTTTCGAGCTCTTCTTACTCAGACATTTCGGCCTCTCTTTTTTCTAACAACTACAAATACGTTTCGCTACTCACATCAACTCCCTATATCTCTCCAATATAGAGCGCATAGTGGTGGAACGCAGCGTCGCGTGGTAAGCAGAATTTTTTACTTTTCACTGCTATACGGTAATTCTCATTGCATCTGCTCTGCTTTCGACATTGACGGTGACAAATAATTTCATTGGCGGTTTTATATAGAGGCTGAAGTTTTGCCTCTTCTTTATACCGAAAAAACTTGGCAGTCTGTTTCTTTTTGCATAATAAGAGACGTGCGTACGATCGGAGGACCAAAGAGAGCACTGGAGCCACATCTTCGGCTCAGTCGATGAACCTTAATCTATTTGAGAATGTTTCATCATTCTCTCTTTGCTTACCCTAGCCTTAAAGTCATCATGTATAATTTCGACATGGTGGCGGGAACAACACTCATGCAGCCTTATGATCTGATGTCGGTTGTCCATAGACGTTCATCCACCAGTGTGAATGGAAAATGCAGCCCTCGTGGGGTAGAGGCTCAAGAATTTTCCTGCGGTAAGGCCTGGAAGTGATAAGAAGCGACTTAAAACCAATAGTTACCGCGACAGTCGGATCTTTCTACCGGAACGACGCGGAGTTTTATTCGGCTACTACCGCAACATTCCCCAAAAGCTACATTGAAAACCTCCATCGGTCTTTTGGAGGCGGTTTAAACTGTAGATCACTCCATTTGTTGGAAAAATCATTAAGACTATAAAATGGAGGAGGAGCTCTGCCGAAAATCACTTTAGCGGTTAAAAAGCGCAAATATATTTATGATATATGTATATATACAATATATATATCGATTCGAACCATTATGCATTATATATATATATATATTTTGGATATGAGATATACCCATCAGGATTTTATAACGATCGGGTCAGAATGACGAGTAGAGTTGTTTTAGCCGTGTCTCTAAGACTAGTCCCTCAGTTTTTGGGATACTCCAACCGGCTTTATAAGGAAGATACACTGATACATTTAAAGGATCAATTTATTTAGAACTTGCCAGATCGTACAACTATAGCATATATACAACAGATTTTACAAATTTGAAATTTTGCGTCGTAAATTTGTCAAGAAAACATCTGAGAACGCGAAATTTGAAATTCTGCACACATCGAATATGAGAAACTACAAATTGCCACCGAAAATCAACGAAATCGGAGCACTATAACATATGACGATTTAATCAGAGAGGCGAATCAATATTTAACCATGAGTTTTTTTCTTTTTTAATTTCTTAGTTATATAAGCAAATTGGTTAGTTTCAAATTAGGTTTCCTCTTCTCACTTGAATGAAAATCTTTTATTGGCTGCCACCAACTCCTCAAATCCCAATGAAAATGGAAATCACACTCGTTTGATATACATTTTTTATACCCAAATACATTTATCATAAATAAATAATTCAATAAATATTTATTACATATATCTACTAAATCCTTGGGATTAACTACTTAATTGAATGAAGACATAAAGATATTTATGTGAATTCCATATAAATAATTTTTTTTACTCAACGAGAAAGATACGCACGTGCATATGCATATACACATATATAAATATATACATATATTATATAATGGGTGATCCGAGCAGAGTTACTTTTGGCAACATCCTTTTTTTTTTTGATAGATCATGTGTGGGTCGCCTCAAACTGTCAGCTTACTTTTGTTAAGTATTTTTTGGCGTTTCATCATGGCAAGACTTTTGCCTGAACAAATCGTTCGAGTGTATTACAAAACATCACATTATCATTCGACAGTTACCAGTCGAAATGCTCGAATGAGTCATCGAAAACTGGACTCAACGGATGAACAATCTGAGACGTAGCCGCGACCAACATTTGAAAGAAATAATCTTCAAAAAAATAAAAAAAAATACCAAAGAATGTTCTTTCGAGGGATAATAAGCATTTCCTATTAAATTTAAATTTTCTGTATTTTTTTCTTTCGAAAAGGTAGGGAACCTCGAAATGGTTCACCCTTCATATACATGTATATATTTATATGTATATTTACAAGTATACATTCTTCTACATTCAGCACTAAAGCAATTTCTTCCGCACTAGTCTTGCGCGCCATCAAAATTTAATGCGTATAAATTTTTATATTAACCCACATGAGAAGTGTACATGAAGTATATGTATATGTAGATACACACATTTATTATATAATATATACCAATGAAAATGTTGATATGTTATTCACATAGAATGTGATCTGGAACTGTTCCCAAATCGCAAGTAACTAGGCTCAAGATGAATTGAAGGGCACGGATTAATGCAAGTCTTGAAGTAAAATTCTTTAAATATATATTCTGATATTTTAGAAACAACAATAATACTGTGACGTGTCAGTAAATTGTTTTTATATCGCTATTTTCGTGTAGTAAATGCATATATTCCATCCTGAAAAGAACCATTTGGGAAAGTTTGCAATATCTCTACGCTACTTTCAACCCGGATTATGTCACTTATATATACATACATACATTATGATTCCAGCAGTATGCAATGTAAAGCACAAGACTGCTTCTAATACATACATATATATGGCCGTGTGTACGCAATGAAAATGCAAAACGAGATATGAATATGATAATTGCTTATTGCATTAAAGCAATTATTCAGTTAACACATACATACATATATTCGCAGGAATGCATGAATGTTTGTTTGAATCCTTGAGCGCTGATACTCAGAAGATTGTCATTTAAATTATATTAACATTTTCTGGAATTATTTTGAATATATAATACGTGTGTAATTAATCTTCTTATATTTGCTCAATTCCTGTGAAATATATACAGCCTTGGCCAAAAATATTAGGCAACCCACTAATTACTGAATTTTTTGTTTTAACAAGTGAAGTAATGTAGTTTTATTTAGTAATTCTCTTAGGCATGCTGGGTTTTAAAATAGCCCATATGTGCTCAATGGGATTAAGATCTGGAGACTGTTATCTCTAAACCAACGCATCGTAGTCGCTGATTTGTGACAAGGAGGGTTGTCTTGCTGAAATTGAACCCCGTCGAAATTAGTATCGCCGAAAATGCGAGTTAACGAAGGCAAAAGAACAGCTTCTAATATATCTATATACTTTTGACTGTCAATGCGACCCTCTAATTTCGCCGACATCATCAGCCTCAGATCATAATGCTGCCTCCTCCGTGCCTAACAGTGGGTGCCACGCAATCTGGATGATATTCTTCCCCAACCCGTCACCTCACGAGCGTCACACCAGGTGTTTTAAGTATCTGTAGAAAAAAAAAACACAGATTTCTAAATTGCTCTAGGGTGCCGTGAAATGTTGGTATCGGCGAACCCATTGCAAATGGTTTTTCCTATTCTTCTCTGAGAGCCACGGCTTGTTTCGGCTTTTTGATTTATTATTGTGGGATTTCGTCTCCATAAATCGCCTGATAGCACATTGGACCGCGCACCGCGAACATCCCACCAAATTGGCAGTTTTAAATGCGAAAATATTATATAAAATTTGCTATGACTTTTAATATTACACAATTTATTCGTTTAATCAACAGTTAAATACCCAATTAAGACATTTACAAAAAGACCTGGTAACTTTGATAGCCACATTTGAGAATACTTGTATTTTAGTGGGGTGCCTAATACTTTTGGCCAAGGCTGTACATGTATTAATTCAGTGCCAAATTCGCTTTGCCTAAAAACAAAACGCTCTAAAGGAGAACCAACGAGAAACAAGCTTAACATCTTAGATCTTGAAAGATTTTAAGAAAATATATTATAATTAAAAAAGCCTTAAATTCAGTATGGAAAATTACTTTCACTCAATTCAAAGTACAAAATGTGTGAAAATAATAGAAAATTTGGAAGCAATTTATCCTTTCCATGATCTCACACCCAAACAGTAACAAGTCAGACTTGAGGGAGCGAAGGAGACTGAATTTCCCAACGGTTTTTCCAAAAATATTTCGATTGTCCGTGGCGTTGTTGTCGCCAAAAACAATGCTTAAACCGTAGGCAGCACTCATAGGAGCCTTGAGGTGCTCAAAGAAAGCATCGTTAGTCAAATAGTCCTTCAGTCCAGCACCGAAATATAAGCTAATTTCTCAAGTATCTTTTTTTGCTTTTATACATTTCGAAATATTAACAAAAATGGAAAAACTTTTAATGTGATAAGGTTTGAAAGCTGAAAGAAAAATAAACGCTTTTTCCCCCTGCGCTATTTTTGTTTCTGTTTTGTTAGTAATAAGTAACTTAGTAATTCAATATTCAGTCACCACAAATACTTGATTTCTCTTCTCTCTTTCAGATTACACACATCGAATTTCTAACTCGTAGTCGTAACCACATACGAAATAAATACTTTTCCATTAACGCTCCACGCACCAAAGCACAAAAGTGGGAGCCATAGATCATACAACTCTCTCGCACTGCTTTATAATGAAATGGATGTGCAACAAATATTTGGTCATAGACCAAAGAGAGCATTACACACGGCAACATCAACTAGTACAACAACAAATGCGAATATCGCACAACCATACACCTGTCGCCTGGCAAATGCCGCATGGACTCAACTCTGGGAAGCCGACATCTGGTGTCAGCCACAAGCAAACAACAGTCAGTACACCAGCGACGGCAGCGTGGACGATATCACTCCTGGAACAATACAAAACGCGCACACAACACTCCCAACCAAAGCGACCGCGAATAATACTATCGACACCGCGGATCCACCTTCGCCAACAACCGAAACATCAATTAATCAAACATACCGTTGTATACTTAGACAATTCGACGGGGCGTTACAAAGAGCACGCTACAAATGCCAGACGATTTCAGCGAACAATGCGGACCGTGCAGCGGGGCTGGAGCAGAACGAAATCGGCTCAGAACCATGGGGAGAGGCGGCAGTGGGCGAGGCGCTGGGCGGCGGCGGCGGTGTTAGTGGCGATGCGGACAGTGTCGATTGCGTAATAAATACGGAAGTGATAGTGCAGCAGCTGCGACGTCCAGTAGTCAATTTCAATTTGGCACTAACGAAGCAGCAGCGAGGGCAACAGCCACAGCAATTACAGGGTGATCATATTAGTCATTTAGTTGATAGTATTAATTTTAGTGACACAGCAGCACAGAGTGCAAATTGCAATTTAGTACAAAGACAAACGTTGCATTGTGATGGCACGGCCATACTGGATACCGACACGCTAGAAGCGACAACAAAAGACGTTGTCATGACGACCAGCGTGGAGGAGGCCAATTTGAATGCAGCCGAAAGCAGCAGCACCTCAATGTTAGAGGATTTGGTTTGTTACCTGCGCATACAGTACGAGGAAATAACAGCCTCACTTACAAAAAAGCCACCCGCCAATCAAGCACCACACGCCGCCGCTGTTGTAGATGACTTCATACAGCGAAACTTGACTGAAAGCCTAGCCGGCAACGATGATTTTAACGGCAACCCGTTAAATGGTGCTTGGCATAATTTCCTCCAAAGCACGCGCAGTAAGCTGAACACCACCGACCTATGGCCCCAACTGGGCGCCCAACTTATGAACTCAACAACTGGACAGACCAACTACAGTTGGCTTACAGGTGCTTATGAGGATACGCTGTGGTCGTGGAATGCATTTGATGTGATGGCAAATGACAGTGTAACTGACAGCGCTTCTGCTACCAGCACCACCGAAAGTGATCGCAGCGCTTCGCTGGCGGCACTGTGGGGACCACGCAATCTCAGCTACGACGTTGCATTGGGCAATAAGCTAACAAAACAGAACGAGTATGAGTGGATTTTCCTTTGTGTGATTTTTTTTATATTTGCCGGTGGTCTTGGCAATATTCTAGTCTGTTTGGCTGTGGCTCGCGATAAGAAATTGCAAAATGTCACTAACTATTTTCTCTTCTCGCTGGCGATAGCTGACCTCCTTGTTAGCCTCTTTGTGATGCCGCTGGGTGCGATACCAGCGTTTTTAGGTAAGTGTTTGGAAGAAACCGATGCTCTTTCTCAATTAATTTCTATTTTTTAATAATTAAACGCTCCCATTCGCCGAATGGTTAGCAGTATATACTATCATGCCGTAGGTGTTCAAGTCGGCAGGGAATGTCCAACCCACTGTGTGCACTTCTGATATGAAATAAAGGCTCCGCATAAAACTCCATCCGCTGAAGGCGGCTTAGAATAATTTGTAGGATGAAAACCATTTCTGTTCAAAAAAATATTTATATTTATGAAGAGCTCATATTTCGTAACGGAAATACATTCGGAAGGATAGGCATTCCATGACGAAAGACGTCAGCAATTACACATTATTAATATTAAAATTATTTTTCTATAATTTTCGATCGTCTACAGATCGGTTAAAACTAGAAGATCCATTTTATAGGACATAGATCTATTTAATGCAAAGAATACTCTAAAAGTAGAATCTCAGATCCAGCAGATTCTTGTCCAACTGCCGAGGGATGCTTTAAAATCCACGGGGAGGTGATGTGTGTCGATCGTTTTTTTCATAAGTCTTTTCCAAAATTTGACGCAAGCTGATTATCTGGTTAATGGGGATTTATAAGGTCTACTTTGGTCTTTCACACAATAAGCGAAATGGCATCTTATATGTGGCATTGTTGAGGTTTATCCCATGGTAATTGGCGAAACTGTGGGGTCGACCTTCGAGTTCATTGGGCAGAGCACACTTAGGTGCCAAACGCCGAGCATGCTTTTATCCGAATATATTCCGCAACAAAGCTGATGCATGTACCTTATCAATTCCTTGCCACCGTATTTGAAAAGCTGGGCCGGCAATCCACGCCGCTTGGTTGTTTTCAAGCCGGCAATTGCTTTTCGAACTCCGTCAAGTCGGGAAAGGAAACATCTGTTCTATTGTCATCGATTGGGGAATCCAGTTTGCCTATGTTTACTGCCTATGTTTACTGCCATTCAGCAGACTAGAGAAATGTCCCCTCCATAAATTCAGTATACTCTGGGTATTCGTTACTTGATCACCTCTCTGGAGAGCTTGCAGCGGTTTTGAAATCTTCTATAAGTCACCGGCCAACTTCTTAAGCTTGTCATACTCATAGATCTCGGTTATTTCTTTAATTAATATTTATACTATAGATATTTTAAGGAAGTTGGTTTTTGCAAATACAAAATATTAAGGAGAAAGGTATAATTTTGAATTTGCTCGAATTTTCAGATACAAGAATTTCCTATTTTGATACGCGTTCCTTTTTCATGAAAACCGAATAGCAAATCGAGTTTCAGCTTAAAAATTTCAGCTCTTTATTAGCTTTTTTTAAAAACTTCTTTGACAGATTTCAGCTTCTATTTCATGTCCAAGAAAAAAATTAGCGAACTGATTCGAATTCAACTTTGAAATTCATCTGTATACAATACATATCTACATGTACAAAATGTAATGGAAATTTTCAAATTAAGTCTTTCCCAATTTTTCCTCTTTATCGGTTTAGAAACCGCTAAAAGCATACATACAGTTTATTTACTTTGATATTAAAAAGAAAAAAAGTGTTCCTTTTCTTGCTTGTGAACCTTTGCGTAAATGAAAAAAAATCAATTGTTTTTGTTTGTTTTAATATCATCAGTGTATGCAGTTAAAAGTGAAATAAGTTGTGGCAGACTGGGAAGTAATGGTAAGACCACAACATAATGGCAAATTGGACTCAACATTTTACTTTGTATTTTTTTTGGCATTTTTTTATATATGTGTATCCACATACATATATACACATTTATATGTACAGCCGTAAGCGCATTGTAAGTGTTCTTAAGTGGTTATAATAAAAGTTTATCTAAAGCACTACAAACAAAACAAATTTGGCGCCAAAGTGAGTTGGTCAAAGTTTATTTATAAACACATACAAAGTAAAGATGTATAGTCAGTCGTACGTACATACATACATACATAATAACAAGTGTTTAAATATATATGTATATACTTTTGAAAGTTTAAGCTGCTTAACCTTAATTTTTTCCTCTTTTTTTCTTTATTTTTCTCTTTTTTCTTATTTTTATTTTTTATTATTATTTGTTTTTTTTTTTTTGTTACAAACTTGCACCCCAAATGTGAGGTGTGTTTGATTGGTTACATAAAGCTACTAGAACAACAATATTAATGTTCGTACGAGTCCTTTCAGTAAGCCTTAATGCTTTGGCAGACAGACTGGCTGGCTGAGTTTCCAAAAATCAACAGTATTTTTTCTTCAATTTTGTACTTCGAAGAAACCCATTGAATTGGTCAAGTCATATCGGTATAGATTTCGAGGAGCTTTACTATTCTCCCTCCTTAAGAGACTACTCTCCAAAGCATAGCCCGCCTGTTCACAGGGAAAGCCGAAGCGGCGTTTGAGTACGGGAATTATTGAGGATTTAGAATCGATTGAATTCAACTGTGCTCTTCGAGACTGGGTACCCGCTAAATTGCAGGAAAATTCAAGCTCAACGCAGTTTAGAGTGAGATGTGCACAGAGGCACTTAGAAGAGCAATAGTTTCGTTGCTATTGTGGTACGTAGCGCCGTCTTGTTGAAAATAAACGTTGTCCAAAACAAAACCATGCAGTTCCCGCTATGAAGAATCATTAATCATCTTTCGATTGCGCAATCCTTTCATTTTCGAAAATATGAGGTCCAATGATCCCTCAAAAACGGAACCAACAGTTACACGTTGAGGATAGAGAGGCTTTTCAACCAATAAATCTTGGCTTTACCGAACCCCTTATGCGACAGTTTTGCTAATTGACGTAGCCAACGCGGTGGAAATGGGCCCTATCAGTCAAAATGGTTTTTCGATTAAAGCTTTTAAGCGAAATTCCCCGCTACTTCGTGGAACAAAACAAGAATTCAAATTTACGTACTTCGTCAAGTGGTCATTAGGGCTTTACTTTCTTATAGCGCGAAGCCGAAAGTGGTTGCACTCTATAAAGAGGCCATAAAACCCCTTCAGAAGAAAAGAAAGGGTCTACTTTTATTGGATCCCAGGGCTTAAGAATATCGAAGGCAAATTGAAAACTGATGGATTGGCTAAGGACGTTGTTCACTTAGGTCATAGCCGTCTTCTCTTGTAACGTCCAGAATAATGCAGAATAGTGGAAATACGTACAAAAAAATAAGACGTGAAGCTTATTAACTTCTTATTATTTGCATGAACGAGATCCGACTACAGACTACTGGTAAGACTATTATCGCGGCGTTGTTGCTGGCTTCCATGCCTTCAAATTAGGACTGATTGAAAACAACAATGGCGGGAATTACAAAGAAAGTAAGGAGCGGAAAAAGCTAATACCAATAAACGGTGCTCAGCAGACAGGCTCTGATCAAACATTGGCGATAATAAACTGATGAATTTTCAATCGGCTGGTGGCAGAGGGCCAAAACATATGCTCTACTTCAATTCGCTAAGAGAAGGGCGATGATCTTCGAAAGGGGACATGTAGTAGTACTGAGCTTTGGTAGTAAGTAATGCTTCTGGTAAAAATATGGTATCGTCTTTATGGGAATTCTCAAAACGACAAGCAGCCTTACATACCCTGGGATCTAATTTAATGTAGCTTTTAATGGTTGAAGAAGAAACGGAACAAAAATGTATATAGAGAAGCAATATTTTTTTTTTTTTTTGAATCATTTTAATAAAAAATAATAACCAATATATACATACATATGTACATATGTACATCTTTAATATAATATATAAAAAGGAATGTTCTTTCCTGTTATTAAGATGGAAAATTTAAAATTTTTATTGTTTTTCTTTCTGACTTGCTTATTCGAAGAGTTTTCGTTTGTTGGTTGAAAATGTATTACGATGCCGTGAAGAGGTTAATATCGGTAAGAAGAATCGGTTGCCACCGCATCTCGCAAGAGAATATACTCTTCAGATTGAAGCTTGATTCCACGAATTCCTTTGAGCTCTAACGATTTTCCATTTGAGTTCAAACGTATTCAGTTTCTAGTGAAACCTGTTTTTACGACGACAATCAATAGGTCGCACGGCCAGTTGCTGGAAGTGTGTGGCATAAATCTGGAAATGTCATGTTTTCCACACTGCCAGCTATACGTGGCGTGCTCACGATTTGGAAAACCATAAAAAACTGTCGAAAAAACAATAAACAGATTCAACTTTCTTTTCTTTTTAAAGCACATAATTTTAAGCAGGACAACGAAGGCCAGGTCTATTAGTTATAAATAAAATTGTCCTGTCTCAGTGTTTGTGGCCCAACTCTTCCGAAACAGTTTGACCGATTCTTGTGAAATTTTGTATGTCTATTCATTGGCCTGTGGGCCGCAATCAGGGACTCACCTATTCGAAAATATTTTATTTGTGGTTATTATTGATTTACTTGAAATTCGCAACTTAGGTGGATTTTGCTTAGCCTTACAGGAAAAATGATGATTCAACCGTGACCACTTTTCGTGCTTTGAGAGAAGAGAATGGCGCAAACAATCGGCCAATTACTCAAGCAAAATTTACTTAAAACTAAAAAAAAAAAATTGTAAGAGAGTGCATGTACACCATCATTTCACTCATTCCACTTCAAACTTCGCGCATTTGAGTGAAAGCGTAGTCGAAGGTCCGATCGTGTATATATGATTTACGACATTCTCAAGAGCTGGGACTTTCTTACGGCAAATTGTGGCGTATTTTGTGTTTGGAGTTACATATACATCCATAAAAAGTACAGCACAGCACACACAACTGAACATTTGAACGCCGTACTTATTAAGCACTGGACGGCCATTTTTTGAACGAAAATTTCTTCAGTGACAAGGTACATTTTCTTGGGACTCTGAGAATCCTCAAATAATTGCCCATACACGCAAAAAACTTACTGTCTGGTGCACTCTTTGGTCTGAGGTGTGATTGGATCTTAATATTCTTTGAAAACGGCACGGCCATATGGGAACAGACTTTTTTGGGCCTGCAGATGACGAACAAGACTTGGAGGATATGTAAATTATGCGA